CCGGTTGGTGAGGTAGCAGGAGAACCACTTCAGAGCCGTGTCCGTCACCCTGGTGTAGGTCTCGAGGCGGTGGAGGAGGATGGTATGGTCCACTGTGTCGAAAGCTGCACTCAGGTCAAGTAGGACCAGGATGCTGGGTGACCCAGAGTCGGCTGCCATCAGCAGGTCGTTGGCTACTTTTATTAGGGCTGTTTCTGTGCTGTGTGCAGGGCGGAAACCTGATTGGAAGGTCTCATACATTTTATTGTCAGACAGATGAGACTGGAGCTGTGCGGCCACGACCTTCTCAAGTACTTTGGCAAGGAACGGGAGGTTGGAGATAGGTCTGTAGTTGGAGAGGAGTTCTCGGTCGATATTTGTTTTTTTCAAAAGTGGGGTGACAACTGCTGTTTTGAAATGGACAGGCACCTCACCAGTCTGTAGTGACTTGTTGATGAGTGTTGTCAGGAAATTAACCAAGGTTGGCGAACAGGTTTTTAGCAGCGGGGTGGGTATGGGGTCGAGGGAGCAGCTGGTAGGCTTCGATTTGCCTATGATGGCTAGCAGTGCAGATGACGTCACCTCGTTGAAGCTGCAGAGGGTGATGCCGTTGATGAAGGGAGAGCAGGTGGGTGGGGTCCGAGCTACTGTTGAGGCTGTAATGGTTGCTCTGATATCTGCGATCTTGGTCTTAAAGAAAGCAGAGAAGTTATTACAGAGTTCTGGAGAGGCAGCTGGGGGGCCTGTGTTGGAGGAGTTGAGAAGGCGGTTGATAGTGGAGAATAAGGTTCTAGGATTGCTTTTGCCGTTGTCTATTATTGACGAGTAGTATGAAGAGCGGGCGTTTTTTAGAGCAGTAGCATAGGCACTTTGGTGTTCTCTGAAGGCCAGTAGGTGGACGGCGAGAGCCTGCTTCCTCCATAGTCTCTCCAGCTGTCAACCGCAGGTTTTCATGGGGCGGAGGTCGTCCGTGAACCAGGGGGAGGACCGTTGGAATTAGTGGATGAATGTATGTGTTCTGTTGATAGGTTATAGACTTTCTACTGTTCTCAACTGTTTTTCACTTTAATTGGATAGTCCTAACACATGCCTACAAATGCTTAGTGGAGAATGCCTACTAAAAGTATACTGATAGTCAACTCTAGATTAGTTGACGATCAACAGATAGTCAACTAAACTCTAAAGTTGCTTATCTGTTGATCATCAACTAATGCGTAATGTAATAGTCAACTAAACTCTAAAGTTGCTTATCTGTTGATCATCAACTAATGCTTAATGTAATAGTCAACTAAACTTTAGTTGCTTATTTGTTGATCGTCAACTAATGCTTAGTTACTTGTCGGTTTGAACGGTGCTGTTGAATGTCAACTGATACATGTCAACTGATGACTTATAAAGTGTTAACTATGGACTATCAAAATAAAGTGTTACCACAATCAGTGGTTAAGCTCAGATAGTAATCAGCTTTAGCTTTTTTAATAAGGGCAGAACATTTATTTCTGAGGACACGAAAAAGAAGCCAGTCATCACTAGTGTTAGACTTTCTAGCTAAGGACCATTGCTTATTTCGATCATGAATGAGATCAGATAGTTCTCTAGTAAACCATGGAGTGTTCCTATTCTTAACTCTGAATTTTCTAAGGGGGGCATGTCTATTAATAATCGATAAAAAATGATCAATAAAAAATTGGACGGCAACATCAACAGATAGAATTAACGCTGTGAAGTGCCATTTAACCTCCGCCAGATCGTGTAGGAAAGCCTGCTCAGAGAAGTGTTTGAAGCAGCGCCTGAGCACAATAAGGCCCTTGGCTTTGGGCAACTTAGTGCACCTAACGCAAGCGATAGTGCAATGGTCACTGATATCATTAGGAAAAACACCAACAGACACATACTTATGAGCTGCATTTGTTAGAATGACATCTATAAGGGTATCGTTATTGGGTTTGGCAGGGTTTATTCTAGTGGGACTATCAATAAGCTGAGTTAAGTTCAAAGAATCACAAACCTGCTTAAACTGTGAAGATTTATCACTTAACCAGTCCCAATTTAAATCACCCAATAAAATGATTTCAGAAGAAAACTTAGACAACAATTCAGTAAGGCTAGTAGTTGCATCCATGATGGCCGATGGAGGCCTATAACAGCCAATAACAGTGAGAGGAGCATTTGCTATAGTTATTTGGACTGCTAGCAACTCAAATTGCCTTGGAATTGAAATTGAGTGAAGGACTGAGCACTGTAGTTTCTCAGCAGTGTATATTGCAACACCACCAGCTCTGCCCTTACGATCAGCTCTGAATACATTATATCCATCAATCTGAATAACAGTGTCAGTGACAGAGGGTTTTAACCAGGTTTCAGAAACTACAACAATATCAGGCTTAGCAACTAAAAACCAGGTCTTGAAAACATCTAATTTGGGCACTAGGCTTCTAGCATTAACATGCAGAAAACCCAATCCTTGCCTACAGCTAAACTCATTCGGAGTTGGCAAATGATGCAAGGAAGCAGAGAAACACTCAGGACCAGGGTTAATGTTAACGTTACCAGAGAGTAATAGCAGTAACAATATTAATAGTCTGGAAGATGATTTTTTCACATGTGCTCTGGACGCGTCACTCCTCAGAGGGGCGGGGCTGCTCCGATCCTTCGATATTAGCGAGTCCAGAGTCAAAAGGGCATACGGGAGTGCGCATTTCGTGCCATGAAACGTCAGCTTTTGGTAAAAACTATCCGATGTAGTCAGCGCTCCAGAGGTTCCACCATCCGAATGTCCGAAGTGAACAGAGGCATCGCTGGGAGGCAATCCGTCAGTTTTGCCGACATGCGGGCTGACAATTAATCCCAGGAAAAAAGCGAACACAAGGGTAGCTTTAGGCAACATTGAGCTGCAACACACCCAATTCAGGATCCGCAGCTCAGGTCCCAGCAGCTCAGGTCGATCAGCAGCTCAGGTCGACCAGCCCCCGACAGCACGGCAGGACAGACAGCAATCCACAGTCCGAAAGAGCGACAGCTCAGGCAGAGAGCAAACAATCCAGTCACAGCGAGGCACCGGCACAAAACGACGCAAAACAGCCCAAAAACGTTTAAAAGCTTTTAAAACGTTTTTAAAAGCGCAGCAGACCAATTTTAAAACGGGTCTAAAAAGCTAAATAATTTTTTTTTAAATGTCAGTATGCACAAGAGGTAGTTAATGCCAAAAAAACAACGAGAATGAGACTAACAGAGACAGAAACAAATCAACGTGCTGCCATCTTGGAACACACACCTGGGTGCAATCAGCAATCACTGTGGAACACACACCTGGGAGTGATGACATGTGACCAGGAAAATCATACTGAAGGGAAATCACATTAACACACAGCCGCTGTCTGTCCATTCCTGAATCTGCGTCACCCACGCGGCAATCCTCGCCTGGGAGACAGCGACGGACGCGCACAGTGTGAGCGCCGTGCTGGCCGCCTTGCCGATCTCCTCCGCTTCATCAGCGGCCAAGGTGGTGGACCGCTCCACCAGCGTCACCACTGAGTTTGAGAGCAGCGCGATGTTGTTCGCCGCCGCCGACGCCTGAAAGGCACACTGGTGCACCCGGTCGGCCTGGCGGGCGACATACTGGTCCCTGGGGGAGGCCAACGTAGGGCGCCGTCCGGCGATCACGTTGGCCTGTCTCACCCCAAAAAACGCCGTCAGGCTCGGCTCCAAAGAAGGGGTGGCTGGGAAACCAGCATCTGTGAACCCCTCCACCTTGGTGAGGGGAACAAATGTGGCCACCGGAGCCTTCAGGATCCTCGGATTCGCCGCCGCCCCCTCCTGATACCTCCTGATGGCGGGGAAGCGTGGCCAGACCGGGTCACTCCTGACCGTCTGCACCCGCGAAAAAACTCCGGCCATATCGTCCGGAGCACACCTCTCCTGAGCTGGGGGAACGGGGAGACCTCTGCAGGCGGCCGCCTTGCATATGATCTCCGGTAGTTCCCCCAGGATGCCACCTATCACCGGCAGCGCCGTGGTGACGGAGAAGGGGACCGCGTGCTCGTCCGCCAAGCCGGCACCCTGCTCCGACTCTGTCTCCCCCGTCCGGGGGAGAGGAGGGAGGGGAGAACCGTACGGTGAACCGTGGAGGGAGGTGGGGTAGGAGTAGTCCGACACCTGCCCGGCACTCGGCTCCAGGGACATGAGGCCGCCGTCCACGGGCTCGGAAGCCTGGACGGGCCAATCGTCCTCCTCGGCCGCAGCAGCGAGAGCGTCCGCTCTTCGCTTCCTGTCGTCCGAGGGGAGACGGGCACAGTGTGTGCATGCGACCTGCTGGCTGAGAGCCGTATGCGTGCTCTGGCCCCAGGCAGGATTCGCACATCATGTGCTGGTCGTAACTCATAATGTATCCAGAGCCACATGAGGGACAATCTCTCACACAATTGCTGCTCATGATTGCTCTGTTAATAAAAGTGTCTCTTGTGCTTCAGTAACGGGGTGCTGAAGAAAAAGAGGGAGCAGATTGTCGGGCCTCCTTCCTATTTATACCGGAAGGGAGCCCGAGGGTGGGCCCACCTTGCGGGCGGGCGTGGACTACAAGTGTTTCAGTGCTGCGCGGGTGCGCAGGGGGATTACCCAATAGCGATAGCCTTAGAGGGCGAAGCCATATACGAAATAGAAGTGTTTTGGGTTTTAGAAGAGCCTTCAGGAAGTCATTAATTCCTTTTGATATTAAAGGCTCTGCTCAGTTGGTTGGAGCGATAATGGGATGCTATATACTGTAGGTCCCATTAGGGCAAATTGTATTTGTGGTTTTGCATTCCGTTATCAATATTATTTGGGATTAATCAATAAATAAATGTCTTAATATATATACAAATGATCTTTGACAAGAACCCAGAGCTCAAGGTTACTTTAAATATCTTGTTTTCTCTGAGCAACAGTCCAAAACAAAAGTATGTTCATAATAGTGATCATCATGCCCGATTTTTATTTAAACAGTGTTGTCTTGGAGAGGTAAATGAATGTATTTAGAGAATATCCTTGTTTAAATCCAGTTTAATTTACAATGTTCTTCTCATAGTATACACACACCCACACTTTGATCATTTGTTGTCAGTCCCATTTGGAAGTCTTCCTCCTCATGTACTTCTCTCCCTAGCTGTCGATGACCTCGTACAGCTGCTGGTCGTTCTCCTTCATGGCGTGCATGTATCCCAGGTACCCCACACACAGCGTGATGCTCACCAGTCCAAACGCCATCACCGGTTTGTTCTGCAGAACAACAGGCTGCATGTTACAGAGCAGGGTTTGAAGGATCCTCATTGTCATTGTATGTGAGTGAAATACAAAATAATGATTCACCCAGAATGAGCTACCCTTATATCATTATTGTTACACACTTTCTAATTGATTGAACAGGTACTAAATATCCCTTATAGATGTCTACAGACTTGTTGTAGATTTTTTAAACCACTGACCTGTGAGAAAAGGCAATGGCTCAGTTTCCTTTTATAACAGGCTAAAAAAATGTAAGCGCCTAAAGACTTTATTCAGACTTTTTGTGTGTAAATAGTATAAAAGAAGCATTTCACAAATTATCTCAGTTCAAGTTCTCCTAGCTTTTTTTTGCTGATGATGACTGAAGTGTTGTTGAAAGCTCCAGAAAAAAAGCTAATAAGTGGTGCTTAGACTATAGGTTTTTTATTTTCTAGATAAAGGCTGAACTTTGCAAACATGTCTATAAAGAAGCTTATATATTTCCGGTATTTGACCACATAATGTTACACTGCAAGTTGTGTGGGTGTAATACACTGTTTGTATTTGACTTATCTCCAAACTGGCAACATAATAAGGACACAAGTGACACTGAGTAAGACATTGAAAAAAAAACGTTTAAAAACACAACCTTAAAAAGAACATTTAATTGAAACTACCATTTAAAAAATGGGATATTTACGTAAGTTCCCTTCAGACTCCATGTTACACTAAGCTTGCTACGCAGAAGCTAACTGCTAATTTATGCTAATTTCCCAGCAGGACAGTGTTAGCGTCATGTACTATTAATAAATCAAGTTCTGTGTTCTCCTCTTAATGTTCTCCTAATACATCCATGGGCTCACCGGCTTGATGAACAGTTCGGGGTTGAAGGCTCGGAACATGGTTGTGGTCTGCGTGCCCCTCAGCCCGGGGGTCCTGTAACCCTTCTCCCCGGGACTCTCCTTTCCCATACCGGCCTCTTTATCCGACATGTCTGGTCAAACTAATAAACGACCGCTCTTGTGAGAAATATATGATGAAGGTGGAAGGAACATTGTAGGATGCAGTATTATGGTGTTTCCCTAAAGGCAGCCATGTTTCAAAGTCAAAGACCGCTGCGCTGAGTGTGAAGAAGAATAGCAGGTGAAGGGAGGGCGCTGCAGAGGGCACAGCGCCCCCGGCGGCCATGAGAGGAACAGCCCCTCCATCCGATCCTCACCTGGAGGGATGGAGCCGTGAATGGAGCCCATCCCACATGATCCCAGGGGAAAGCTTTTATCAGGTGTGTCAAACTCAAATGCACAAGGGACACTGTGACGACCCCTGCCTTGTTGTCTCCTGTGGTGTGCATGGTCCTTTAATGTTTCTCCTCTGCTTGTGACGCCCTGATTGGGGACACCTGACGCCCTGATTGAGGACACCTGACGGCTGGCGGAGGATTAGAGGCCTGAGCCAGAGTCTCGATCTCTCTCTCCCGCAGAGGACCTGGGGCCTCATTTATAACGCCTTGCGTAGGATTGACGTGGGAAGGTTGCTTACGTAGTACAAAGCAAAAAAATAGGTACAGACATTTTCCGACATTTTCCGATTCACAAAACATTGCGTACCGGCGAGGGAAGTGCGTACGGCACTTCCTACGCCTGTTTCCCTTTATAAATCACAATCGACTCGTAAAGCCCATATTTGCCTATAAATAGTCAAAGAAACGCCCATTCATTCATTCATTTTGACTGACTGCATGAAGAAGATCGCAGGAAATTACGACCGAACAGCTAAAAAAGACATCTCACACCGTGTCAGATTTTGGTTATTGTGGGGAGGTCGAGATAAATCATATTGTTTGGTGGATGCGGTTTGAACCAGAGTAGCAGCATGGAGGTCGGATCGTCACCAAAATAAATAAATAAGTGGTCCGAAAAAAGTTACTGACAAAAGAAATACACATAATCTTCCTCAGGCAGTGTGTTTGTACCGGGCACAGGAGACACCCCCTTGATGAGAAACTGTAAGAAATGATCGGGGAATCCCTCCGGAGTGGAGTCATGACGACTGGATCTGAATTATTTTTGTTGTATTTAGTGGTTTGTGTTCCAGCTGTCGATCAGCAACTATATATCCATAATCCACCAGTTAAAGGAAATACAACTAATGTGTTGTGTTATATTAGCTGTACAATTTACCACATATGGTGTTCTTAGTTTCCATACCTCCTGTGTTTTACGAGCGACTTATCAAGTCTTGGCAAACGGCATAAAACACGATTAAACGTGATAGTAGTAGGCTATATAGAAATGCAAAACGGCGTCAGTTTAGACGTAATTCTGTCCTCCTGCTTACCGCATCATTTATGAGAAAACATTTCATAACATTAACACTGTAACACAACATATTCGAGGTGGTTTTAAATAACATTTCCGTATTTATTTATTTCTCCAAGTTATGTTTTTGTGTGCACTGAGGAGTCGCAAACAGGCGTTTGTTTAATCATTTTAAGATTGGCTTTAATCAATGTTTGAAAATGAATTCTTCATATTTGATAAATGAGAGGTAACATTTTATTTATGGTATTATTTCCACATATTTCTCTCCATTCTTCCTTCTGCCAACGGTGTCGCAGTTTCTCGTCTCTCCCGTTTGTGTGCTTAGTGCGTACGCATGGGTTAGAGTTTGCGTGGAGGACCGCACATTTTCCCATCAAGTTAGAATTTTATAAATCGCAAACATTGCGTAGAAACTGGCCTACGCCATTTTTTGAGCTTATATTCCTTTATAAATGAGGCCCCTGACCTCGGAGCAGCCACGTCGCCTATGTTTTTTTGCTTTGCCTTTTTGTTTGTCTCCGGACACATTAAGTGTTGTGAAATAAATACCTTTTTTACATATTCTGGTCCTTCCCACGCTTTTTGTTATGGCTAAGAGCCAGGCCATGGGAAAAATACATGGGAATCACATCAAGGGCAGGACATGCATAATGTGTTTTTTATCCTTGTTAAAAGTTAGCATATCTACATGTTTTAAATGTATTACTGTATTTTCCCAGAATATGAATTACTTTTTTTGTTATTGGCAACAGGGAGCCGGTTTAAAGTTGCACCAATTCACTCAAAATGAAGATTGTACTATTGATCTCATCTGACCAGAGTGCTCTGTTCCAAATGTCTCTTGGTGAAATCCAAGTCAGGTATGTTCAGTGAATGGCTTAAAGTGGTCTCATGGACACATTCACTCATCTCCAGTGTGATGTTGACCAGCTCCTTTGCCCTGCTTGCACAGTCTGTGAGTTTTGCTGGGGCCCTCTGTTGGCAGGTTTCGTGTGGTAGCATATTCTATCCATGTGAAATAATGGGATTTTCAAAGTTTGTGTTATATTTTTATAACCAACCCCGGACCTATACCTCCCCACAGCTCTGTCCCTTACATGACTGGAGTGGAGAGCTCCTCAGTCTTCATGCTGCAGTTTGCTTGCTTGGTGAGGCCATTTGCTCAGTGGTGTGGCAGACTGGGGCCTTTTAGAACAGGTGTGTGTATACAGAGAATGAACCTGATATCAGAGATAATGTGACACAGGTTGCACACAGGTGGACTTTATTCAACCGATTATTTGACTAAAGGTCGTTGTTGGGGCTTCATAACAAAGGGAATACATAAGCACACACTGCTTTCCAGTTTTTTTAAATAATATTTTTACTACTACTACTACTACTTTTTTTTACTTCACCAAATTGGACCATTTTGTGTGGGACCATGACATAACATCCACATAAATCAATTTAAATCACAGGTTCTCATTTAAAGGTCCCATGTCATGGCCATTTCTACTGATCATAATTCCATTGTTGAGGTCTACTAGAATAGATTTACATTGTTCAATGTTCCAAAATCACATTGGTTTCTCATACAGCATCTCTGTATAGTAGCCTATGTGTATTCACTCCTGTCCTACACGCCTTGTTGGAGCTCCTGACCCCCCTCCCTATGAGCCCACTCTGTTCAGATGAGTCCATCACCGTTACAGCGGAACATCAGTGTTTATGTATTACAATGGCGTTTGTTAGCAACCAGAAAATGACACCAGTAATGACAAACAGATGAGAATGCTGCGTGGGGTCTGGGTGCCGTGTTGGCCGGACGTTGCGGGGCTCGCTGCTCTGCCCTTTGAGGCTCGAGGAGCGGGCAGTGTGAGCTGGTTTACTGGTGTCGTTTCCTGGTTGCTGCGTGGGGTCTGCGAGACAGCGAGACACCGCGGAATTCAGCCTGAGTTGTGCGGAGATCCCCCGATCCGCGGCGATCCGCGGAGCCGCGGCTGAGAAAAGATAAGGCTGAGTGAGTGTGTGTGTGTGAGGAGCTCCGCGGATTGGTCCAACGTCACTATGACCGTTACGTCACTATACTCAGGAAGACAAAAATGGAAAAAGAAAAATCTCCAACGAGGCATTCTGGGGCAGCATAGACACGTCTTTTCTGTGTAAAGCTGGCTACACACCAACCTGATTTTGGGAGTCAGAAGCCGTCAGAGGCAGTCGGGCATTCGCGGCGCCCTACTCAGGTTGGTGTGTCCCGCACCGTCGTCTCTTTACGGCACCTTTTCACACCTCCCGCGGCCTCCCGCGGCTGATTCAACATGTTGAATCGGCCGCGGGAGGTCAGAGAAAGTCGGCCCAAGCAATCACTCTGATTGGCTGTTCACACTACCGCTGCCTGCTGGTAAGGACAGTTATTGCCACTCGTCGACTGAAGTATTTGCGGTGTGTTCGTAGGCGGGCGGCGCAGCGGGCGGCGTAGC